TGCTTGCCACCAACTGTTCCTGTACTAACATGGAGGCAGCCTCCAATTTTTCTTGGATAAGGGGCCACTGATCCACCCACACAGGGGGTTGGGTTTCCCAAATGATTTTATCTGCATGGGGCACAGGAGGGTCAGGGGCCGATACTAAAAGTCCGAATACCCAAGCCCATGTTTATCTGTTTTTTGGGTAGCTTGGATGGGCTCAACGATTCCTTGTCCTGATTTTCCAAGACCCGTACCAGGGACAAAATCCATATGGAGCATTGGGACTAGCAAGGATAATTTCCATCTGGGTCAAGATATCCCGGCCCCATAGGTTAATAGGGAGGTCAGGAACAACAAAAGGAGTAACAGTTCCCCTATTGCTCTCTTTGTCAGTCCAATTAAGAACCCTGAAGCTTACCAAAGGGTTTTTTGACTGCCCTATGCCTTTAAGGTCAGTTAGGGACTAGGTAAGGGGCCAACTTGGTGGCCAATATTTTTGGGAAATAACTGTGGCATCTGCACCAGTATCCAAAATTCCCTGAAACTCCTTTCCTTCAATTCACAGGGTGAGGGTGGGTCTTTTTTGAGTGATAGGCTGAACCCAATACGCATCAGAAGACCCCAAAGAAGCAGTTCCTTACGAAGTGGTCTGAGCAGTGGAAGAACCCCCTGAATTTAATGGGAGCAGTACCAATTGTGCAAGCCTAGTTCCAGTTGGAATAACTGCAATCCCATTAATGGCCGTGGCCAAAATTTTTATTTCTCCTGTATAATCATTATCAATAATACCAGGAAAAACTTGGCCACCTTGTAAGGTAGCAGAGGCTCTTCCAAGAATAAGGGCACACATATGAGACGGAGGGGGTCCCAGGGTCCCAGTGGATATTATTTGAGGTCCTTGTACAGAGTCTAGTACTGTGTCGGTGGCGGCACAGAGGTCCAGTCCTGCACTGCCTGGGGTTGCCTGCTGGAGGGAGGCAATCGTGGAGAGAGGTGGGGGGCTTGTGTTGGACTGGGAGTTTGGGAGGGGACAAACCCTTTCGTCCCTGGGCTTGTCTTGGGGATAGTCAGGGCCAGGGGCTGGCCCCGAGGGAAGTTTCCCGAAAAAAAAAAAAAAAACGAGAGAGAATGGGCTGTCCAAGGACATTTGTTTTGGATCTACATTCGTTTGCCCAATGACGGCCCTTACCACATTTGGGACAAAGAGTGGCAGGGAGTGGTTTACCTGTAGCTTTGGAGGGCATTGCCCCTCAGCTTTGTTTGTGGACAGGACATTCCCGTGCAAAATGGCCAGGTTGTTTATAATTAAAACAAGAACGGGAGCCGGGGACTGAACTTTGAAATGCCTTGGTAAAAGCAGCGCCTATGGCGAGTCCCATGGTGTGGGCGGTTCCTACTCCAGCACAAAGCCTAACGAACTCAGAGAGGTCACCCTTGTTTTTATGTGGCTGGAGGACATCTTGACATGCCGGGTTAGCATTTTCAAAGGCAAGATGTTTAACAAAGGCACTTTCACTTTCACTAGGCCCAAGAAGCCTTTCCGCAGCCAAGTTAAGCTGCGAGACAAAATCACTGTAGGGTTCATCTGGCCCCTGTCTAACTTTTGCCAGGGAAGTAGTAGCCGATCCCTTTTGAGGGAGACGCTACCAAGCATAAAGGCCAGCATTTTTAATTTGTGCCAAAAGTCCGGCAGGAAAGCGTGCCTGTTTAGCATTGGTATCAAAGGGCGCACTACCCAAAAGTTTAGTATAGGTCCAGGTTTTTGAAGATGTTTTAGCCAAATTTTTTTGCACAGTCTCTCTACATTGTTCCTTAAAGTCCGCATTCCATAAAACAAAATCACCCCCACTAAGGGTGGTGCGGGCCAGGAACTTCCAATCATTAGGGGTGAGCCAGCGTGCACTTTGGTTTTCTAACAAGGCTAACGTATAAGGGGCAGTCGGGCCATATTGGGCACATGCATTTTTAAGCTTTTCAACAAACTGGAGGCTAAGCCTCTTATACTCTTATTGGCCTTTTCCCTGGGTGGGTTGTTCCTCTTCATCCCCAGTATCCTGTTCCTCATCTTCCTTTTCCTCCTCTTCTGATTCGTCCTCCTTACCCTCTGAGATCCTATCTGTCTGGCTCCCAGTTACTGGAAAGGCAAGGACTGATTGATGGCGTGATCCAACCTTAATTTTATTAGGCGATTTTGGCGTATCAGCCAAGGCCAGTGTGCGGAGTTCATAATCAAGGGACCGCAGTTCTTTTAAAAGTTGAAGGTGTTCTTGCCTATGTTGAAGGGCCTCGCGTAAAGGGGCCAGGTTAGGTAAAGCGGGGAGAGAAAAAACATATGGATCTGGAGGGGCAGTGGGCCCTTGAAGAGCCGGGCCACAAAAGGAAGGGGGCGCATAGGAGGGATGAGGAGTATTTGAGGTAGAGGGTTTAGTCTGAGGTAGGGGGTGACTGAGTAAGGGGGGCCAATCAGGCTGATGATATTGGGCCGCCTCCTCTTCCAGGGTGGCCTCCTCCTCGGGATTTAAATTATCCTGAGGGGATCGGGCAGCCTGGAGTACAGGATAAAAATGTTCATCTACCTTTTGAGAGGGAGTTTCAAGATATTTTAGGGAGGTTTTAGATTTTTTTTTTTTAATTTTATTTTATTTTATTTGAGAACATACTGTACAGAGGGGTTACAATTACATGGGCAGGATAATGCATACATTTCTTACCAAGCATTGCAGCCTCCTCCTTTGTTTACCCTTCACCTCCCTTCCCAGCCTCCCCCTTCCCTCCCACCCAATCATACCCCCCACCCCCCCCACCGACATTGTAATGCTGGTTTTGACATGACATTTTGTACTTCTCATTGTTGCAACAGGTCCACCTGAATCCTTAAACGACTTGTTTGTCCCCATCTCCTCTACTTGTTATACTGACATCAAATATAGTGAAAGCGGGGGTTACATTGTGGGGGAGGGAAGGTTTTAGATTTTTGAACAGGGATTTTCAGTAAATTGACCAGCAGGCATATCTAATACACCCGATGGGCAAGCCACAGGGGGCCGAGAGGCATGTTGGAGAACCTCCTCTTCTGTTTTTACAAGTTTTAAAATTCCACTATCAAATAGAGAACATTTAAAAATGTCATTAATCAAATTCCAATAGGAAAAGGTGGTAGCAGGAACCTTTTCCGAACCAAAGGTTTCATAATAATCTGTTAAACAATCTCCTACTCTTTGCTATCGTTTTGCATCTATGATTCCTTCAAAGGAGAACCAAGGACACAAGTCCTCTATGAATGAGAAAAATAATTCTAAATCCTTTTTCTTAACCCGCGTTCCCCGTGTCTTGAAGGCCTCCTTGAGGTCTGACAGAAATAGATCATGTGATTGCTTGTCACTCACCTTGCGTCATCCTCACTCTCCTCCTGGATCTGTCTCTCGGCGGGGTCTGTCGAGGCTATCTCAGACCGTACTTGGCCAAGTTTTCCCAGAGGACGGCATTCCTTCCTTAGTCAGAGGCTCGTGAGGGCGGTGAACCTAAGCAAGAAGGAATGAAGGGACAAGAGACACAAGAATGACAGCAAGACAAGGATTCTGATCAAGCTGCCAATTTTTATTTTTCACACAGGGGTATTTATATGCTTGGAATAAGGAAGCTTTTTCATTGGCCGAAGTAACTGCAGGGTGCTTGCTTAGGGCAAGGTGAAAAGGTGGAAAGGTCGGACAGCCTCAAGATGTTCCAGTGAGATAGTTGGCTCCCAACACTATACCACTTGTTACGGTTAATAACTAAAAAGTTTAAATAGGAACTTCAATTCACAATAGGCTCAAATAAAAATTACCTAGGATTGCCTATAATATTAGCTACTCAGGAGGCTGAGATCTGAGGATCAGGGTTCAAAGCCAGCCCAGTCAGGAAAGGCCCTGAGACTCTTATCTCCAATAAACCACTCAGAAAACCAGAAGTGGTGCTGTGGCTCAAGTGGTAGAGTTATCACTCTTGAGCTGAAGAGCTGAGAGATAGTGCCCAGGCCCAAAGTTCAAGCCCCACGACTGACAAAAAAAAAAAAAAAAAAAAATTACCTAGGATAACCCTAAATAAAGACCAGTCTTCCTTGCAACTATAACATCTTAAAAGAAACATGGATGAAGGCATTAGAAGATGGAAAGGTAGTTTGGCAGAGTTCATACTAATATTAGTCATTAATACTACGGGCATACCTATACAATAGAATATTATATGACAATAAAAAGCAATGAAGTATATATAGATAGATACATACTTTAAGGTGGGTGAACTTTTAAAATACGCTACATAAAGCAAGCCATGCCATAGCTACATGAAATGTCCAGAATAAGAACACAGAAGGACATAGAAAAATACCTCAGTGTTTGTCCTAAAATTCTGGCAGGGAGTCAGGAAGAGAATAAGAAAATTACTAGTACTGAGTATCGGGTTTCTTTCTGGAGTGAGGAAAGGTATCTAAAACTAATGTTTTATCTAATGTTAAATGGTAGCTTCCCAAGTCTGTAAATGCAAATAAAGTATATTGAATTGGATACCTCAAAAAGAGTGAATTGTAGGTTCTATGAACTGGATCTCAATAAATACGTTGAAAAACACGCAAGCCCTATTAAGCTGGGGCCCTCAGCTCCACCACTCAGCCACGCCCGACAAATGACAGGAGGCAGAGGTCCATAAACAGCAGTGAAGATGACCCGATTTGCTCCGCCTCCCTCCAATAGAGAGCGATCCGGGCCTGGAGGCCAAGCCTCCCAAGCAGCCGCCTCCTGTCCTGAGGCTTCCCAAGGCTGCTTAGAGGACAGCGGGCTCCACAGATGAACAGAGCTGCGGGGCAACCCGGCAGGCCTAAAGGTCTCCCAGGCTTTCAGGAGCTCTTTGAGAAGGACCCCACATCTTCCCCCAGGAAAGCGCTGGAGACAGAACTGAGTCTCCTTGAGAAAAGTTGGAGGAGACCGCCATCAAAAACCCTGAGTAAACCTTCCTTCAGGCCATGCCCCAGTGTAAGCTCCACCCCCAGCTCAAGTCCACTCCACCATAGGTCCTGCCCCCAAAGTAAATGAGGCTCGCCCCCAAAGTAAATGAGCCCCTAGCATAGGCTCAGGCCCTGCTTACAGTCTATATTAAGCATAGCCCAGCCCCACCATAGGCCCCACCCCCAGACATTGACACACACACCCTGGCATTGGCCCCATCCAAGATATTGGCCCTGCCCCAGGGTGAGCTGGGGGAGGCAACCTCCCAGAGTCCCTCCCAGAGCACGTTCACACAAATCCCACACAAAGCAGGGGCACAGGAGCGAGTTGGAAGTTAGACTATAAGTACCACAGTGTGAAACTGCCAAGATGAAGAAAAGGCCAGTCAAGCTCCCATTGAGATCATCCTTTTCAAAAGGAAGGAAAGAAAAGGCTATAATACATCACACTACACTGAGAAAGGAGAAGAAATAGAAAAGGGGGGCATCAGGGGATCCAAAGCTCATCAGCGACTTTTGAGTCCTGAGATCCCGGTAACAAATCTTTTTATTCAGTTGAGTCAGGGAAGTGACTACAGGTACCTGTAGAGATGAGGGTATCAATCTATCTTTGTTAGCATGAGACATAGTATGCATACAAATGTTAATTGATTCCAGTATCTTAGGAAGAAGGGAAGCAATAAACAGTCCAACATTAATATAGACTTTTATCTCGAAGGTCTTAAACTTTTGGTGCCCAAGCAGTTCACACTTAGGGTAGAAACTTGAGCCTAGACTGTTTGATCTTTCCAGAGACCCAGTTCTCAGTCTTCTGATTGCTGTTGCAATGGCTTACCAATCTCTTAACCCTTTTTATATCTCACAACTTGACTCCAGCATTCCCTACAGGTGTGTGTGTGTGTGTGTGTGTGTGTGTGTGTGTGTGTGTTTGGTTTTGGGTTTTGTTGTTGGTTTTTTTAATGTCAGTTAATAGCAAATCCTCTGATAGGATGACTATTAAGAAGCTGAAACATGTTTAGGGGAAAGACAAAAGCAGTGAGCATGCATGAATGGAGAGAGAAAGAGTGAGCAAATGCAGTCATTATATTCAATATATATTATGTAAAAGTTGAACTAATTACAAGGTAGAGATGGAAGGGAGAAGGAAGGAGAATAATGGAAAGGTTGACAATGATCAAGATGCGTTGTATTCAATACCTGACTTCAGGAATTGAAAGCACATATATGCATGACTATGTGTGTGTAAAAATATAGCATAATGCAATACACTAAACAACTGTTCCTGAGGCTTTATGTCCCATGGAACTTTTTCCTTGTGACCTTCAACAGTTTTCTCAAAGAATTGTATTGTCTGTACCATTGCTCCACTGACCTCTGTAAATACCACTTAAGATAAAACATCATTTACTATTTTTCTCTTTTAGGCTCTGTCTTTGATGGCTGTCTACCCAGTGGATTGTATCAAATAGAGAATTCAAGTGCTTTCAGGGAGGATTTGTTGGAACCTTTCTTAGTGTTTCGAAAATTGAAGGTGAGTGTGCTGAGTGCAGAAGCAGATTAGGTGTACTCAGTTGATTGGTTATTTTGTTGTTGGTCCTGTCAACTGATCCTTAACACTTGGGCCAGGTACCTGGCATGATCTTCTGTTCTAAATATCCTAAAAGGATTGTTGAAGGTGTGGGCTTCCTGTGATTTACAGTATCATCACTTGCCCTTAGAAATTAGAGATTCTATCAGAAGATGATCTCTAAGAGATCCAATAAGGGTTTCAAAGAACATTCAGCATCCTTACTGATGGTATGTCTGGAGTCAGAAATGAGCAAGTAGCTTCTGAAGGTAACTCACTGTTAGATTCTAACTGTTAGAATTAGGCAGGCAGGAGGTTAATGGCTTTCAAATGATTTTTGTGTAGAAATCAACCTTATGGAATCTGAAAACCTCTTCATCTTGCAGCTTATACATTTTAAAAATTGGGTTAAGGCTGGGCACTGGTGGCTCACACCTGTAATCCTAGCTACTTAGAAGTCTGAGAACTGAGGAATTTAATTCAAAGCCAGCCTGGGCAGTAAAGTTCCTGAGATTCTTATCTCCACCTTACCAGCAAAGTGCAGAAAGTAGAACTGTGGCTCAGGGTGGTAGAGTGCTAACTTTGAACACAAAAGCTCAGGGAGAGCAACCAAGCCCTAAATTGAAGCCCCAGTAGTGGAACAACACAACAACAACAACAACAAAAAAATCCCCCCATGCTAATGGGGAAGGGGAGCATCTTCATTTTGGTTTATAAAACAGAACATAAGAGCAGATACAAAGTTGTTTAATTCATGCCCCCAATAGAACATAAATATCTGTATATAACTAGTAACCCTGTCTTCCATAACCATGTGTTATGTTTTAAAACTTTACAAAATATGCATGCTTCCCTTATCCAAATCATCCTCATAGCCCTGTTGGGCAGCACTAACACTAGAAACAGCTCCACCTTCACTTTTAGTACTCTTGCTGTCATTTCCACAGTTACCTTTTCCTGGCCATGGTAGGACTTGGTACCGCCCCATTCATTTTCCAGGAATTAGCCAGGCATGGAAATGATCTGTATTGCCCTAGCATGAATCACCTTTGCCAAAAGGCCTGATACTGGTCTTGTTTTGACTATTTTACTTATGAGTACCTGGAAATAAATTCCTTCACCTTTTGGGTTTTTATAGCACTGTTGTCTGGATTTATATATACACGTTTCTACTCTGTGTATGGTTATCCCTAAGAAGGGGATTGTTACAGTCTTCAATTGCCCTTTTGTCTTCTAGAATAATAGCCCTATATTCTGGATTGAAACCTACTATGATTGAAACATTCGCCTCCAATAGCTCACTATTTTGGGCCTATGAACACAATGGGAAGTTGATGATGAGCCAGTTGGAAGCATACTGAAGTGTCCTAGTGAACCTGGATCCAAGCACAGGTATTTAAGAACTACTGTTTATTTCAATAAGCATTATTTTATAAGATCATACGCACATAGCTACTGAGCCCAGCTGATCCTCTCCTAAGAATATCCTTCTGTGGTCTCACTGTGTGAATGTTTGGAGTGCTATATAATTAATCATATCCAAGTGTAATTATTTGTTTTTTTTACTATCCATTAGGTTTACTTGTAGATTTATAGGCACATTTTCATTATTACAAAGGGGGAAAGTAGGTAGCCTGTGTTTCTTTGTGTCTGGATTACTTTGCTTAATATAATTTTTTTTTCCAAGTCTTTCCATTTCCTTCATGGGGCCATGATATTCTTTCTGATGGAAGCATAGAATTCCATTGTGCATATACACTACATTTTCTAGATCCATTCATCCACTGAGGAGCATATGGATCGATATTTCTTAACTATGGTAAATTATGCTGCAGTGAACAGGGTTGTGCTGGTGGCTTTAGTACAGCCTGCCTGGTTTGTAGTCATTTGGATAAGTGCCCAGGAGTGGGATTGGTGGGTCATAGGGAAGCACTATGGGTTTTTTTTGTTGTTGTTTTTTGTTTTGTTTTTGTTTTTTGTACTGTTTGCAATTCTTTTTTTATTCTTTTTTTGTTGTTTTGGGTTTTTGTTTTGTTGTTTTTTGGATTGTTTCCTTTTTGTCTCTGTTTTTGATCTCTGTACCCTTTGTCTTCTATATAAGTTTCTCTGATTTGAGGAGGGGAAGGGAAAACACTGAAACGGTGGGACAAAGGGTGAACTAATTCAGTACTGAGACTCATTAGACACTATGTAGTAAATGAATTATACAATTTGGGGAAGAAGGGTTGGGAGGAAGAAAATTGGGAGAAAATAAGGGAGGGATGATACTTCAAAAAAGAAATATACTCATTACCTGACTTATGTAACTGTAACCCCTCTGTACATTACCTTTACAGTAAAAAAAAAAAAAAATTAAAAAAATAAAGAACAACTTCATCTCTGGGTTTCACAGGGTTTCACAGAGTTCAATAACAATGTGGAATTAATTTGATGTCTTGTGAATTTGTCTGTGGCCTCCCTTCTTGTACCTTAAAACTTTATGATGAACCTCTATTTTACATAATTTGTAACCATGATTGTACTAAAAGAGAAAACTTGCTGCTTTTGTTGCCCTTGATGGACTCTGTCTGGTGGCCTTATCCACCTAAATTGAAAAGCCAAATACACATCTATTAGAGTGCAATTTCTTCATAAAGCTACATAATACACAAATGCAATTTGGATCATTCTGTAGTGAGAGAATCACCATTTGTTCAATGTTTCATTGCAAGAAGATTAATAGCATAAAACCCAGAGATGGTTATAAATGTTTGCTTCTAGATGTACGGTTCTTTTTTTTTAAGTCTCCTAAACCTATGCACTAAAGAGGCTTAAGTTTTTCTAATGAAACTTGAAAAATAAAAAATTCATCTCTATTTTTGAGAGAATATATTTACACATTTAGTATATCTTCTAGATTGTTGATGAAGTTTCAGAGTAAGCATACTGGATTTTTTCCCCCAGATGTTGTACTCTTCAAATAGTGCCAGTCAGCCAGGCACCGGTGGCTCATGCCTGTAACCTTAACTACTCAGGAGGCAGAGATCTGAGAATCACGGTTTGAAGTCAGTCCAGGCAGAAAAGTCCATGAGACTCTTATTTCCAATAAACTCTTCAGGAAAAAAAACAAAAACAAAACAAACAAACAAACAAAAAAAAAAAAACAGAAGTGGCTCTATGGCTCAAGTGGTAGAGCCATAGCCTTGAGCAAAAGCAGCTCAGGAACAGCATTCGGCCCGGTGTTCAAGCCCAAGACCTGGCCAAAAAAAAAAGTGCTATTCATTTTCTGAAGGGTTCTGAATGTAGTATGCAATCTTGATTGGATTACAGAAAGTGGCCTAGTTAAACTGGCCTTTGGAAAGCAGTGGGGGCACTCAGCAGCTTCCCTTACCAAAGAGCTCCCGTGCTGTGGGCTGTCAATTGAAGAAGAGTCTTGGAGGATGGATAGGCTGTGCTGTTGTGCTTTGAGGAAGACCTATGTGGCTGCTAACCAGCATCTTTTACCTAACTCCATATCTGTATCCTAGCTAGGGGTGGACTCCAGCATGTTTTTTAGAGCAAGAATGTTAATAACTTGAGAGAGTTTCATTGTGGAAATGTCATGTGTGTGAGCAATGTTCTTTGAGCAAGTTCACTGTCTTCTTTTTCATGCAATGTTGGTGGGATTCATTATGCTGTCTTCATAATCAGAGAGTATCTTTATCCTCTTCACCCTCAGTCTCTTCCCCTCCCCTGCCTTTTAGGGTTTTGCAAATAAGTAAGAACTTGGGTGTGTGTGTGTGTGTGTGTGTGTGTGTGTGTGTGTGTGTGTGTGTGTGTGGCTTATCTCATTCAATTTAATGATTTCTAGTTCCATTTGTCTCCAAATGGCTATATTTCACTTTTCTTTATGGCTGAGTAATATTCCAATGTGTGTGTCTTTTTGTACTTATTCATCAGTTGTTCAACACCTTAGCTCTTCTATACTAAGTTCTTGATAGTTCCAGAACTCATTCCCTATGTCCACCATTATAAATGTCTTTCCTGCTCTAAAACAAGTTAAACAGAATCCAGACCTGAAGCAGGGGCCATGAAAAATGTGTGGCAGGTGTGGGTTGAGAGACAGCCTTTCATGGTAACAGACCTCTGTATAATGAGGATTTAGGTACTAGCTTCACATAGTGACAGAGCTCTGGATAATGAAGGACATATTCATGATCTCTTATCATTGATGCTCAGGGCTCTGTCTATTATTTATTACTTATTACTCAAAACAGTTTTGTCCTTTGGTCTAATCCATCGTAGACTCAAAGAAAAAACTTTAAATTTTTTCTAAGGAATATATTGCTAAGACAAGAAGCAGCATATTTCTCATGACCTGTTCCTCTCTTACTTGACTTAATCTTAAAAAGACAGAAAGTGGGGCTGGGAAGGTGGCTCAGTGGTAGAATGTTTGCCTTGCATGCATAAGTGCCTGGGTTCTATTCCTCAGCACCACATAAGCAGAAAAAGCCAGAAGTGGCGCTGTGGCTCAGACAGTAGAGCACTAACCTTGGGCTGAAGAGCTGAGGGACAGTGCCCAGGCCCTGAGTACAGGCCCCACAATGGACAAGAAGAAAAAGAAGACAGGAAGTTACCTACAGATCTCTCTTTAGATTTAGATAGAGTGTCAAAGATCCTGTACATTGCCAAGCTCCTTAAAATAAAATTTTAATAAATGCCCCTTGCAGATCTATTACTTTTTCTAAGTGTGACCATTTTATTTTTACAGACATGAAGATAGGGACTATTCCTATATAAAGTTTCAATTCTCACCCTCCAGGGTTACTCAGCCTTCCAAATACTGTGGGTGGTATACATCTTTTCTGAACTATTTTGATATATACTCTCATTGACTTCCAGCTTTGTCACTGCTTTGGGGAGGAGGAGCTAGAGGAGGAGCCATAGACAATATTACTATTTGGTATTACTTTTGGTACTGGGGTTTGAACCCAGGGCCTACCACTTCCTGGGCTGGTGCTCTACCATCTGAACCATACTTCCATCCTTGCATTATTGCTGCTTATTTTTTAGATGGAGTCTCAAAACACTTTTCTACCCAAGCTGTCCTCAAACCTCAATCCTTCTGTTCTTAGTCTTAAGTAGCTAGCATTACAAACCTAGGCCATCACATTGCATCCAACAATTGAGAGGACTAATGATAAGCCTCAAATTTAGTCATGATACGAACAGAAAAGAAATATTTTAGTGCAGAATACTGAAACCAGACTTTTTATAGTTCCACTAATAAACTTTTATGGTACCCCCCCCATAACTTTGCCTTCCATTTGATTAACACTGTGTGTCTTGTGATTTTGACCTTCAAAAGGAAGGCCTTTAATAAGAACATTTGCAAACCCCAAGAATACTCAGTTCTGAAAGTGGACAGATCCATCTTAAGTTGTCCTTTGTGGTTTCTCTTTTATTTGCTGAGGAACATTCAGACAATTAGTCCACATATGAAGAATATGTTTTGTACTTTGCTAGGGAGGGAGGGAAGCCTGTGGGCCTGAGGAATGTCTCATCATGAGAAATACCCCTAAGGTATTTAGGTTTGCCTTAACTTCTGTCCCCCATCTTCTCACAGCCTAATCTGGCCTCACTGGGCCTCCTATCAATTTTTAGACTTACACTCAGGGCAATCAACATGTTCCATAGAAGGCACAGTTTCAAAACTGCAAAGCTGAGTGAAACCATAAACACACTTGTATAGGAAATGAACTAAGGAGGTGTATGTGTACCTTTACAGATAACTTGACTTTACAGATAATTTGTTAAACAATATTTAAGCTACTTTTTAATATTTGTCAATATAATATTTGTCAATATAAAGACTGAGATTCTCAGCAACTGTTCAGGAATCCCAACTACTTAGGAGTCAGACATCAGGAGAAACATGGTTCAAGGTTGCCTGTGTAAAAAGCAAGATCCTTATCTCAACCAAGAAACCAAGTATGGTCATGCATGTTTGAGCCCTCAGCTATGTGGGGTGCTGGAAGCTATAGTTAGGAGGATCAAGGTCTGAGGCTAGTCCCTCACAAAAATGACTCTACCTGAAAAATAACTAAAACTAAAAAGGTTAGGGGTTTGATGCATGGAAGAGTTACTGCCTAGCAAGTTTGAAGTCTTGACTTCAAATCCCAGTACTGCCCAAAACAAAAGAAAGAAAAACACCTCTGAGACTGCTTGCTAGGCAGACACTCTATCATTTGATCCACAACCCCCAGCTCTGATATTGCTTTATTATTGTGACCATATATGCTTGAATCTGTTGATTTTAATATTTTGTTTACGCCAAATAGTTTATAAATCAGAAAATATTTTATAAGACTTCAATGCCTAATATTATATATATATATATATGTATACCCACATTTATGGATTTGTGGGTTGGCTCTTGAATGGAATATTAGAAGAAATACACACTTGTAGAAAACTATAATGAGGAAGTGGTAAGTTAGTATTTCTCGAACTGTCACAGAATAGGCACTCAACAAACATTTATTGACTTGTGGGTGACTGCTAGACACTGGCTAGATCCTAAAGATAAGCTGTATAAGGAGTACCTCTCATCTCAAGATGCTCACAGATCACTAGAAGACACAAGTGTAGCCTTGAGTGATGAAATGATTCCCCTTGAGAGTCTCCTTGCTGAGTCCTCCTATCATCCCTAGGCTGAACTGGTTACACAGTTACTAGGCAGTCACTGTGTCTAGTCATGTCTTCTGGGAGTCTCTTATAAACCACTGGGGAGGGCCTTCTTTCTTCTTATGCATCTCTTCATTTCTCATCCTCTCCTTCCCAGGATCCATGTCTTCTCACTTTTTTCTAGATTCTTCTTTTGGGAGATTCCTGAGAAAGGATACATAGTGATGGGATGTCTCTTAGGCCATCACCTCTCATGGAAGTTTTCGTCTTCCTCATACTTATTGCTGTAATGGCAGCCCAGGGCTTTCACCTTGAAGTTGGTGGTGTCTTCTAAGAAGTTGTAGTTGTCTATATTTTAGTTGATCAATCTGAGGTGTTCTGGAAAATGTCTTTGCTGCTCAAACGTGTGTTTCTGAAAATGTTAAGATTTATCTTTTATGTGTTAGAAGAAAAGTCGCCATGACTTGTATGAATCAAGAAGACATGAGTACTGGTGATGGGGAGGGGAGAGAAATCACTACTGCTTGGTTTTCTCTAACAAACCTTTTCAGTCATCAATAGGTGTCCCAGGGCTTCTGCATTCTAGGCAAGAGCTATGGCACTGACCTGAACCTTGGCAGCATTAGACTTATTAACTGCATAGCTAATGTGTCTCCATGAAGGATAATTGGCTCACTTTCTTCAGTAGAATAATGGATTGATGTACCTGAAAACCCTTTACAGGTTCATCATGTGCTTGTAAGACTTTCATAAAACTTTCAATATAATTTTACTATTTAGATAATAATATTACGTGCTGTGACTGCTGGTTTAGTTGGAAATCAAGTACTTTTTCAGTTAGGCAGATAAAGAAAAAGGTTTGATTAAAAATGGAACAGGCGAGCTGGGCTGGTGGCTCATGCCTGTAATCCTAGCTACTCAACAGGCTGAGATCTGAGGATCACAATTCAAAGCTATCCCAGGCAGGAAAGTCTGAGAGACTCTCATCTCTAATAAACTACTCAGAAAAAGCCAGATGTGGTACTATGGCTCAAGTGGCAGAGTGCAGTACCAGTCTTGAGCACAGAGACTCAGGGACAGCACCCAGGCCCTAAGTTCAAGCAAGACAAACCAAAAAGAAAAAAGAAAAAGAAAAAAAAAAGGAACAGGAATTTGGACCCTAATGATTGCAACTCACAGATCACCTAGTTTAGGTGTTTATCTGCAGGGTCACTATAGGCATTCTGTAAGAACCCAGTTTTCCATTTCTTGTCAACCTCCCTCCCCCACCAGTCCCAAAGCTCTAGCCTCCAGCTGTGTTGGCAGAATGTTATCTGCCAGGTCCTGACCAGAGCTGAAGAATATTCCCACTCCAATGATCTCTGAGCTTCTGTAAATCACCTTGCTTGCTTGCTAAACTGTCACCTGCATGTGGTTCTGGCCAGTTTTGCCCCATGGAAGGGCACAGCTGCTCTTAGTTCTGAGGTAGTCTCCGGCTGGCTAATAATAAGACTCATTTGTTTAAAAAAAAAAAAAAAGACTCATTTGTCAGCTTTGATGGTGCCTCCATGGATTTCAAAACTCTAAGGATATTTCAATTTCAGGTACAATCATGTTCCATTATAACAGATGTCCTGAGCATTACCAGAGGTTTAATATCCATATCTCATGCCATTTGAACCACCTAAAAATTCCAACGGCAACAGAAATCTCACAGGGGTGGGAGAGGGTGTCACTTGGTAGACAGCTCTTGGTCAAGGGCAGCTGATCAATCCACTCACCCCCCATTGGTGGGGGTATCTTTTCATCTCCCCTCAAATGCAAAAGGTCAGTCAGCTGGCCTCTAATGCCCCAGCAAGGAAGAAATCACTATCTCCTAAAGCTACATCAGAATTGTTCTCATTATTAAATATTTTTTGTGGAACAGCCCTCCCCCCCCCTTAATCCCCTCTTTCCATCCTTGGTCCTTCAACTAGAACACAGAGCTCTTTGTGTATCATCCTCTATCACTTGAATGTCCTCCAGTATTTGAAACCGGCCACTGTTTCCACTGTCCCATGACAACCTCTCACCTCTCTTGAAAGCTGGCTGTGCAATGTGCACAGGTTTGCATATTATAGTATTGTATTGTCCAGAAATCAATAGACAGTAGGACCCCAAAACCACTGATGAGCTGTTGTTAAAACAAAATTTTGAGTGAGAGAACAAACAGCTGATGTGTCAGGACTGTACCCGAGGTTGGGATCTCAGGGCACTGCCTTGAGTGCCAATCCGTATCAGCTTTTAAGCATTTTTGGCCGGAAGGGGGAGAGGGAGAGGACTCAAGCCTGCTCCGTTGGGCTCTTTGTCCATTTTGGCCAATGGTCTGCAGGGTCTTTTGTTGATGGGAAGCTTAGGGAATAGAACAAAAGATGGGAGTGACTTGTTCAGTTAGTAGCAGAAGCAGAGTTATAGTTTGATTTTACAATTACAAAAACAAAGTTACAAAATCATCTATTATTAATAAACAGAGACTTTTAAGTTTTATATGGCCTAAGTACCTAAATCAAATATTATATTTTATCTTTAATTTCCATACCACAATAGTAATGCACTTGGCATGCTACAAAGTAGAGGTATGTCCACTGTACAGATTGGGAGATAGAATAACAGTTTAAAATGACTTCTCAAGGTGGCACTATGATACAAACCTACTTCCTGCTCCAACGTCAGGGTCTTTTTTTTTTTTCTACAATATTCCATAACTTTTGTCCTGTCTTTCCCTCTCTTGATGTCTTACTATCTACTCTGCTTATTTCCTATGGTAGGGCATCAATGCTCACAAGTTCTCATCTTCCCTGTAGTTACATCCATCACCAAATGGCTTTGCAAGTCCCTCTCATCAACAGGTGGCTTGTGCCACTCCATTCTTGATGTCAGGTTCAGCAGAATAAGGTAAAAATGTCCTTGGTCCATCTCTGACCTCAGGCCTCAGGAAACCTGCATATTTCCCCTTGGACCCTCAGCATAGGTTAGGCGACCTTTACACATGTGAGAGAGGAAAAAAAAAGTTAATTGCTTCTAAATTATTGAGAACTTAGGTGACATTGCTAAGCCATGGATTTCTCCAGCATTCAAAAAAGCAGAGCCCACCCCCACCCCCACCCCCAGCCCCCCCCCCACCCCCAGTCTCCTGTGTTCCATTGATTTCATTACTTCAAAGCCTGTGGGGCCTCTGTGTCCTCATTTGACGTGAACTCCCCCAATCAAAGGAAGCCATCTTCCTAACCAACACCCGCCGGAAGCCCCTCCACTCCCGGGGGCCACGCCCTTCTCTATCCCAACAGCTTCCGCGAGAGACATCCATCCGGGGCTCTGAGATTCCTGCGTCCTCAGCTCGCAGGCTGGTTCCCTCAGGTTTGTCTGTCTTGACCTGGGCCTTGTACTCCAAGCCTCTGCCCGCACCTCTGTGGGTCCCTTTGTCCTCTCTGTCTCTCTGGCCCCGTATCCTTCTCTTCTCCCTGACCCACCCCGTGGGGTCCTTCCTCCTCCGCCTCGAGCTTTGCTTCGCTCAGGGCCCTCGTGTCTTCCTGTGACCTCAAGGCCTGCCAAAGTGGCCACGTGCGCATGCGCCCATTTCAGGTACGCATGATTTTTAGGTAGGTAAAGGCCTTTGTGGAGGTGGAATGCCTGAACCCGTGCGTCCACTGGCAGAGTTAGGGTGTGTGTGTGTGTGTGTTCATCCTGTTGTTGTTTGTGTGTGTGTGTGTGTGTTCATCCTGTTGTTGTGTGTGTGTGTGTGTGTTCATCCTGTTGTTGGAGACCAAATCCAGGGCCTGGAACATGCCAGACTAGCTCACTACTAGTCGGCCAGTTTTGAGATTCTGGCTTGAGATCACATTTAACCCTAGTTAGATTTAGCCCAGACTGTGGCCTGTCTCAGGACTTTATTTTACCCGCTAGTGATGTCTGTCTCAATCATCAGCTCAGTGCATTACTTCTGTCCCATCCAAGTAAGGAACCCCATTAAAGAAAGGCCCGCACTAAGGAACATTATTAGCCATCAGAGGGCAGCATTGATGCAGGAATTGGTGCAGAGGTGTTTCAAATGAGAACTAAATCCATTTTGGGTTCCATGGATTGGGACACAGAAATGGGGAGGGAAGGAAGGGCGGATGGGAGGGCAAAGAGGTGGTATTCATTTGGGAGCTGGAGATGGGTGGTGGGAGCATCGACAGGCAGAGAGAGGGAAAAGCAGGTTGTCTGGAAGGGTGATACCACGGGGGTCTTGGGGGCTAGCCTCCAGCACCACTGTGGACAGTCCTTCAGCATAGTGAGTGGAGGGAGCAAAGGGAAATTGATTGGCTAGTGGTTGGCACAAAGTAAGAAACGAGGAGGGTGATGAGACGGTTGGAGCAGCCCACAGAGGATGAGAAGCCAGGAGAAGAAAGGACTGGGACAAGAGGCTAATGTGAGCCTTACCATCCCATAGGGGCTTAGATGGGATAAAAAATGTGTGTGGGTGGTGGAGGCTGGGGGTGGGGGGAGCCATTGCCGCCAGGTACATTCTCTCTCTCCCCCTATCCTTCTCTCCCCGATTCCTCTCTTCCTCTCCCTCCTGGTTACCAGGAAGGGACCAGCTTTCCTCTGAAAAGTCCTTTTTCTGTGATGTTTCAGTCTTGCCACCAGCCTAAGGGCAATGGAGTCAGTTGACCCTGGACTGAGACTATTGAAACTGTGAGCCACAATAACTTTTATCCTCTTTTAATTGTGTTGCTCAGGTATTTTGTCACAGTAATAATTTTTTAAAAACTGAGTAACACCAACATCAAGGGGAATCTGTTTTGGGGTGAGTCCATTTGGTAGGAATTGTGATGAGTTTGGGATTATGGTGCATATAATAATGTTGGAAATTGAGCGAGTGGTTAAAACACATATGAGGTACATGAAGAACTACCTGAAAACAGAAAGAGAAGCCAAGAAGAAGAGGACTGGGGGTTTACCAGTTTGAAGTAAGAGAGTAGAGAAGCAATTGAATAACCTGGAGGCAAGACACTCTCTACAGTGCTGCCAGGATGGCACGGGGGTAACAGTAAACTTCAGAAAGATGAGTGAAGGGAAAGGCTTGCATAGAGGGAAATAATCATGGATGGGCACAATTTTTATTATAATACTTAGAGAGGATTCATTTTGTAAAAATGATACACTAGGAGCCAGTGGGGATTGGTATAGTACAATGATACAATAGAATACTGTGCTACCGGGGCTGGGAAGGTGGCTCAGTGGTAGAGCGCTTGCCTTGCATGCCTGAAGCCCTGGGTTCAATTCCTCAGTACCACATAAGCAAAAAGAAAAAGGCCGGAAGTGGCGCTATGGCTCAAGTGGTAGAGTGCTAGCCTTGAGCTGAATTGCTGAGGGACAGCGCCCAGGCCCAGAGTTCAGGCCCCACGACCGGACCCAAAAAAAAAAAAAGATTTCCCCCAAAGAGTGTACAACAGGATACACACACACACACACACACACACACACCCTAACTCTGCCAGTGGATTTGGTCTCCAACAACAGGATGAACACACACACACACACACACACACCTTAACTCTGGTCTCCAACAACAGGATGAACACACACAAACACACACACATAAGTGTAAGTTTGTGTATATGTATATATGAAATTAATTTGAAATGTGTTTCTATCCCTTGCAATTTGAAATGGTCTTGATTTATCTTCCACACTTATGATTTCGTATATGGAGCTGAGTGAAGTGATTGCTTTAAAGTGAGTTAGAGTACATGCATAAGTTGCAAAAAATGGAGAGGAAAGAAAGACTGTGGCTAGGAAAGGGTACCACAGGTGCGATCTAGAGCAGGACAGGTGGTGGAGGAAGGCTAGCTAAAGATGGGGAGCTGCAAAAAGCTGAACAATACGTTTTTCAGGACAGAGATGAAGGGAAAGTGTTCAAGGCAAATAAATGAGCTAATCTTGGAAATGTTGGGACTTCTCTTCTCTGAGCCTGGAGGAGAAGAGAGACAGACTTATGGCATGTGTCAGAGAGGGAAGAGGAGGGTAGCCATGTACATGGCTTTGACCTCCACAGTCCTTTGTGGAACCCAGACATACTATCTCTTAAGAAGGTGGCTGAGGGTCATGTAGGAGCATGACCAGGAGAATAGGCAAACAAATAAGACAACCATGAACTGGTGGCTCATCCCAGTAATCCTAGCTACTCAAAAGGCTGAGAGCTAAGGATCAGAGTTCAGAGCTAGCTCATGTAGTAAAGTCTGAGACTTTTTTTAAACCTCCAATTAACCAGCAAAAAGCCAAGAAGTGGAGCTGTAGCTCAAGTGGTAGAGGGCTAGCCTTGAACAAAAAAGCTAAGGGACAGCACCTAGGCTGAGATCATGCCTCAGTGCAGGCACACACACACAAAAAAAAAACAAAAAATCCTACCTCCAAAGATTGTCTCATCAAAACTGTTCCTGTTACGGTCCTCCCCCACCCCTCCAACTTCCCAATACCCCCTGTGGTCCCTTCTTGTGGCTCCTTAGTCATTTCTCAGAACCACCAGCCTTCCTTTCTTTCCTTTTTTTTTTTTTTTGTCAGTCGTGGGGCCTGAACTCTGGGCCTGGACGCTGTCCCTCAGCTCTTCAGCTGTAGACTATCACTCTACCCTTGAGCCTCAGCCCCACTTCCAGCTTTTTCTGCTTATGTGGTGCTAAGGAATCGAACTGAGGGCCTCATGCATGCAAGGCAAGCACTCTACCACTGAGCCACCTTCCCAGCCTCCCACCAGCCTTTCTTCTTGATGTGGGCCATTTCTCTGAGCTATATTTTGAACACCTTAAGCAGGAGGTATCAAATATGGAGTGGGCCAAGGTGTCCTCATCTGTACCCAGCAGGCGGCAGCAGAGATGCAGTTCTTCATCTGTGCACTTGAGGACAGGGCAGTGAATGTCCCAGAGTGCTGGGACACTGTTCCCTTTAGCCCACAGAGGCCTGAATCTGGCCTGGAAGTTTAGGAAGAGACAAGACACTGACTATAAGGCAGGGGTCTCATCCCACTGGTTGGCCTGGTTGGTGCAGCTTTTAGACTCCCACAGGCAGCTGCTAATGCTCACAGGTCTGATCTCCTCTAGCAGGTCTCCTGTGACTGCTTCATTTTATGGTAAATTGGTGGACTTGCTTCCTGGGCCTGATTCTTCCCCAAGGAAGAACCCCTTTCTCAGGACCTTGCCAGGAGGAAATGGACAGAGCCAAGGCAGGAGGAGCTGGATCTGTGGGGACAGAGCCTGGATGTGCTGGGCCTATTCCCAGCTGCTCCTTTAGTGGAGGTACAAGGGGTCCTTCCAGACTCCCCTTCCTTGTGCTGTCTTGTTCCTTTCTGTGCCAGCTTCCTGGCACTTGGTCACATGCTATGCATGGATTCAGATGAGCCCAGCAAGCTGACAGCTGAGTAAAGCTGCTGTGCTTGGGTACAGTCTCTGGTCAAGGTGAAAGACACAGTTCATGCTGGCAGATGTCACAGACTGGCTGTGGGCACACAGGCTCTCATTCATCCCACAGGTCATGGCCATGTGAATGTCATACTCTGCACCTGGAGAAAGGAGAGGCTTTCTTCTTCCCCTACCCTGAGTCCCAGGATTATAGAAGCATCACATGGTCCAGTTGTCCCTGTCCTGCTAGTGAGGAGGCTCTGTCCTGATGTCATCTACCTTGTTCTGAGGGAACTTTTTATGTCTTGAGAAGAGTGTTTCTGTGTAGTCCCAGGTGTCTCAGCCTCTTAAGTGATCTTCTCCCTTAGCCTCCTGAGTAGCTGGGATTAGAGGTGTACCACTGTGCCGGCTTTAATGACATTGTTTATGTTCTTGGTTTTAGTGCTCATGCTGGAGCTTGAACTCAAGTCTTCACACTCTTGCTTAGCGTCTTTGCTCAAGGCTGGCACTCTACCATTTGAGCCACATTTCTACTTCCAATTATTTGTTGGTCAGTTGGAGACTAGAGGCTCATTTTTTTCTGTCTGGGCTGGCTTCCAACTGTGATCTTCAGATTTCAGCCTCCTGATTAGCTAGGATTATAGGTATGAGCCACTGGCACCTGGTTTGATGACACTTTTTTTTTTTTTTTTTGGTTGGTCCTGGGACTTGAACTCTGGGCCTCTGTGCTATCCCTGAAGTTCTTTTTGCTCAGGGCTAATGCTCTACCATTTGAACCACAGAACCACTTCTGGCTTTTTCTGAATAGTTTATTGGAGATAAGAATCTCATGGACTTTCTGGACTAGCTTCAAACTGCCATCCTCTGAACTCAGCTTCCTGAATAGGTAAGATTACAGGCATGAGTCCCCAATACCTGGTTTGACTTTATTTTTGACAGTACTGGGATTTATGAGGCAGATGTTCTACCACTTGAATTATGCCCTGAACTTTATTTTTCAGATAGTTTCTCACAACTTTGTCTGAGGCTGGCCTGGACCATGATCCCACCCATACCTTTCACATAAATGGGATTTCAGAGGTATACCACCAAGCCCAGCTTATCTGCTAAGAAAGGGAATCTTACTACTACCACTTTTCACGTGGGTTGACTTCAAATTGCAGTCCTGTTCATCTTTGCTCCTGAATAGCTGGGATTATAGACAGACATGAACTCCTGCTCCTGGCCTGATTTGGCTTTCTTGAGCTCTAGACTCATTTGTTGAATGGCTGACTGGGTATTTCCACATAGTTTCTTAAGAGCTGGGTACTTGTATGCCTCCAGCTCCATGTGTCAACTGAGTAGGTCACCAGCCTGCTGGCCTGTCTCTTCTAGAAGTGGCCAATCAAAAAAATAAAAAATAAAAAAATAAAAAGAAAACTGTTTTCTTCAACAATGAAAAAAAAAAAAAAAAAAAGAAGTGGCCAATCAACAAGTCCTCAGCTTTGCACACCTTACCCAGCTACAAACTCCAGGGTATGGAGTTTGTTCAGCCATTGCATAGTCTGTTCATTGTACAGTCTTGTGTAAGTGGCCCTTTCTGCCCATTTTTTGCATCCATAAAATTGGGGTAATCGTTGATACTTTATAAAGGCCAGTAAAGCATCTAGCAGGCCTGACAGCATTTGCCAAGTGGTTCTCAGGTCCTCATTGCCTCACATCTCCTTTTTGACTTCAAGACCCAGGACCATCTTCAGAGCCTTCTGTTCAGACATGTAGTGTTCATATCACTTGCTAATTAAAGGCCAGCTGAAGCAGTTAAACTCCTACTGGACTTTCAGCTCTGCTGTCTGCCCTCTTTCACATCACCTGTCCCCCATAGGGAGTCTCACAGGGGCTGGGAAGGTGGCTCAGTGGTAGAGCGCTTGCCTTGCATGCCTGAGGCCCTGGGTTCGATTCCTCAGCACCACATAAACAAAAAAAAAAGCCGGAAGTGGCGCTGTAGCTCAAGTGGTAGAGCGCTAGCCTTGAGCTGATGAGTTGAGGGACAGCGCCCAGGCCCAGAGTTCAGGCCCCACGACCGGACCCCCCCCCCCAAAAAAAAAAAGACAGTTTATGCAGGGAAGTCCCTGAAACTCTTATTTCCATTGAACTACCCAAAAGCTGAAAGTGAAGGTGTAGCTCAAGTGGTAGCGCATTAGCCTTGAGCAAAAAAAAAAAATATTAGGGAGTCTCACATTTTCTGCCCAGGCCATGTTTCCTGGCTAAGTCCCCAATGTATGGTGAATTCTCTCTCTGGTCTGTCAGCACTGAACTAGGCCCAGCTTGTTTATTCTCACTGCCTGGTGAGGCTCGGTCTCCTGTCCCCTCCTTTTCAGGTAGAAAACCAAAGCTTTGTGGTTTTCAAGAGGAGCTGGGACTTAAGTCTTGGTGTGCCTGGTTGCCCAAGTCCATGCTGCTCCTTCTGTTGGCATAAATTTCTTATGAGCAGATGTCCTATAGAAGGTTAGGTAGGGACAATTGGAGGACTTGTCCACACGTTCTCTTCTGTGCAGAGTATGTGTGACATAGTACTGAGTGGAGAACATTTATATAACTCCTTATGCTCTGTAGTGAGTTAGGGTGTGTGTGTGTGTGTGTGATTTTTTTTTGTGTGTGTCACTATATAGCCCAACCTGACCTTGAACGTGTGATCTTTGTGCTTCAGTCTCCCAAGACCTGGAATTCTGGGTGTGCCATTGACACTCAGCTTAGAGTGGCAACTGCAAGGGGAGTTGGAGGGGATGGGGGTGATATGGTCACAGCTGGCCAGTGTTGTCACAGATCCGCTGGGTGCCCTTGAACTGTCTCCTTCATCTTCCCCCAGTCTGGATGGCCCTGTGCCCTGTGGTATTGTGCTCAAGATCTGGCTGATGTGGGCACAGGGCCAGTGCTGGGGACCCCTCATCTCATATCCACAAGAGAGCCTATGCCTGACAGTAACCCCATGGGCCACAAGTATCACTTTGATTCTCTCCCTCATATCCATCCCTAAGCAGAATGCAGTTTATCAGGTAAGTGAATAAGTAGATAAGTGAATAAATGAATGGCACTTATTTTGGCTATTTTTAGTTTTAAACTTAAGAACTAAAACTAGGCAATCTTATTTTTTCCAATCTTTCCTGAAAGACAAATTATGTCATTTACACACATTTCCTAAAAGGCCCGTGTGACCCAGTCACTGCGTTTTATAGGTGATTTACCTTGTGCTGGTTATATTGCATTGAATTACTGATGGTGGAGAGTTGTGACCAAGACTTTAGTCTGGCCAACAGGAGGGAGTACTAGGGAGGAACTGGTTGCATGTGTGTTCAGCCACACTGGGCTGCTTGAACATGAAATGAAGAGAAGCTGGCTGTGTGTCATTTGTTCTATCAGGAAATTGAAGCCACTGATATGCTTGCTGACTGACAAAGCAGGTCAAGGAAATACAGCAGGTGCAGAATTACAGCCTGAAATTCCTGCCTCTGTAGAGATGACGGAGAAGTTCAAGCTCAAATGATCCACCCTATACAGAGGTCAAATTTAATCTCTAAACATCAGACAACAACAAAGTCAACTCCTCCAACATTCTGAAATATTTCTATTTGGAGATTTTCTCTACAACTGGCATCCAGGATTCCCTCTTTTTTCTCAGGCTGTGAGGAAGTGGCCTCCCTTAGGGGGAAGCGTGGAGAAGGTTGGAGAACAGTAGCCTGGACTTGCAACCTGGTTCCCAGAACTTGCATTTTGACCTAAGTCTTGCCTCTCCTGCAGGCTTTTTTGGTCAGGACAAGCTAGCTACTCAGCCCTTCAGAGGCTTCTCATTCTCCACCAACAGGAGACTTGACTGAGATGTTTGCTCAGGCTCAGCACAGGCCAGGCTCATTGTTCCATGCTGCTTTGCTTTAATCATGGCAGCGACATATTAGCATTTTCTATACTGCAAAAACAAATCATAGATGGGTATGGTTGGCTCATGCCTATGATCCCAGCTACTTGAGATGCAAGGATCAGATCCAGGTTTAAGATCAGCCAAGGAGCTTGTCATTCCAGCTATGAAGGAGGAATGGGTAGGAAAGTGCAGTCCAAGGCCAGCCCCAAAGTATAAAAAAATGATGAAAGCAAAAAGGTCTGAAATTATGGTGTTCAAACTTATACCAACACTACCCCCCAAAAAACCATGTCCATCTTCAATCTTTTCAATTTTCATAGGCCCATGAACTCTAGTTTTTCCGAGTCTCCTCTTTATGATGCATATTTCAGACCTTTATCCGTCAGTTCTAAAATATCTAAAACCTTCTGATAGAACACCCACAAAAAGATGGTTATTCATGCCCACATTTAGTACTCTTTTGGACAAAACAGTAAAAGATACAAAACCCACAAAATCTTAATTTCCTTATACTAGCAAGGTCTGTAAATGAAACAATTGACTTTTCACATTACAAACAGTTCTAGTGGTTTTAAATTTCATTCCCTGTGTATTTTTTCTAATCAAATTCCTGTATAATTTCCAGAGGGTACTGTGGCTCACAGCAGCTGCATCTCATGGGAAAGGTTCAGTATAGCCAGCATGGCTAGTTATGGAGGTCTTCCCTGGGTATATACTTGCTCCCAAGAGCCAACAAAGGATGAGAAGACTCGAGGCTGGGAGCCTGGCATTTTCAAGAGAGGTGTACTCACAGCCTCTTCTCCAAGTGCAGATGCCTGGCTTTAAGGGCAAGAGCTTTGTCCAAGAACATTATGATCTCAGTTCCTTACTGGCTTTATTCCGGCACCCTGACGGCCTGGAGCCTTTCAGGCAGCAACAAGGGAGAGCACCACATAGCTCCCAACACCCTGACCTTTTCCAGTTCACAGGCCTGTGATGGTGGAGGAAAAAGAGCAGGAATTGGGCCTTAGGCCAGCATGGGTTTCTATGCAGTGTGTCCTACCCTAGAGATCTGGAGTAAACTACTCACACTTTCCATGTCCTCAGCTGTGACATGGAGGTTCTGAGCAGTTATAGCTTAGATGTGACATCCATGGCTGGTGTTCCTGAGGCCTCAGGGGGCCTCAGTACCAGGCCCTCCAACCTGGGGCCTTACGTAAGTGACACAATGACAGGACACAGCCCCACAACCCAGACAGAGGAATGAAACCAACTGGAGTATATGATACCTGCTTTATTTAGTCAGTCTTTATTTAAA